TAAGGATATGAAAGAAATGGTTATACAGAGAAAGTTGTGTATTCCTTTTACTATGCACCTTTGGTCCTTTATATAATGTCGCCCTTCTTGTTAGGATTCCTGTTATTGATGACGTAAGGTGGCACACCTCCTATCAATCTGGGATGTTTGTTAGGAATTGCTAAAATCTCTCCAGATGCTCCTCCTATTACCTAGCTCTTTTCGAGCCAATGATTGTGCTTATTTGTTATAACTAAATCTTTTGATTGTAGGCATTCCCTCATGACTCAGTTTAAGATTGTTCTCAGTAGAGCTCAGCCTTATCAAAACCGAACTCTTACTCCTACTACCGAGCTCCCAATGATTCAGCTTAGAATCATGAACCGAGCCTTCATTGTTCGGTTCAACTTCTATTTTACTGTTTCCCCACGTGATCTGTCCCATCATGCTCACATGAGTGCATTAGTTGTCTACTGCACGTGGCACAATTTTATGTCCCTTCAAATTATAAATAATATATTAATCCCACTTAATTCAAAACCATTGCTAACTTCAATATTTAATAACTAGCATATTAGATTATAGGAGTTCACTAATTCAAAATTTGCTTGTAATTAATTGGAGTTATTACATATCAATAATAACATAGTATTATTGTTATATCTGATACAAGATTAAACTCGATACATATTAGACCTATACTGCTCACTCTTGCAAGAAAAATATGTCGTACCCATACATTTTTTGACAACATACTACACACTTGAGTTTGGCATTCAAAACATACCACTATTTACTTTTTTGAAAATTGACCCCTATCCTGCATCATCTAATTTACTCGGTCGTTGAGTTTGATGAGAATTGAGTAGAGAGATTCTTGCACTAGAGATAACCGTATGTGTAAATTCAGGTCTTAGCCAGAGATCTCGGATCTAGATCTTCAACATTACAATTTCAATTAATTGTGTTGAATAGTAGATCATTTATAGTGCATGGATAAGAGACTCACTTATACATAGTCGGTCCTATACAAACTATGTGTGGATGCAGAGTTCAATTATAAATAGCAAGTTCTACCTAAATTCATGTTATATGATTTATCATTGAGTGAAATACCATCTCAATTCAGATATCTCAATGGTTACAAGCTTAGCCTTCTACACATTATCTTTGGGCACGACAAGAGTGAGCACACCATTCTCCATGCTAGCCTTCACTTTGTCCATCTTCGTATTTTTTGGTTTGTTGGGTGATTGAATGTGATAACCCCAAATCAAATAAAGAAAAATAGGAAGAGTCCTAAGAAACTTTGAATATGTTTATTAGTGACATTTGTAGGGAGTACAGAAATCTAGTAGTATTTGATTAGGTTTGGATGACTATTTTTATCTCTATAAATAATGTTGAATATTATGTATCATTTTCAAGATTTCTAGTGAATAGTACATTGATATATTTTTTTGGTCAATGGATGTAGGTATAGTGCATCAACATTGATATGCGATATCGAACTACATTATATCTTTCTATTTTGTTTTATGTTATTTTTCTATCTTGAATTTTTATCTCCCAATAATTGGTATCAGTATTATTTAATCGTTGTGCAAAATCAACAAGTGGTATCCTAACAGTAGGTGAAGATCCTAGGTAAACTCTTTGAGAGGTAGATTGGCGATCCGAGTTTAACAAATAGAGTAGGTCGTTGACAATCCAACAATCAAGTTGGTGTTCATGTTTTCGAAGGCTCCCCTAGCCACGTGTGTATGACGTGGTATGAAGATTGATTTTTTCTTGTGTATATTAAGGAAGTAATCTTTGATTTTTTGATTAATTATTTTGATCTCAAATGAATATCATCGGAATAGATGGCCGATGTTTTTTGTGGAACTCTTTGATTGATTGAGTATGCCGACATTGAAGGTGGTTCTTTAAGAAGTTGGACTATTAGAGACATATTCATGTTAACACAATGGTTCAAGATATATTGGATCGGCATTCACCCAATATTGATTTGGTGTGATGTACATAGGTTTACGATCACTACACTTTACCTTGATAGATTGTTGAAGCGTTTGACCGTTGAATCCTTCCAAGAACAAGTAAGACGCATGTAGAAACACATAGAAGATGCAAGCTAAGATACAAGCTCTTGAAAGATAGAGAAGATTGTGATGACTCATAAGGGCAAATTTGCACGTGATACTTGAAGAGAATAAGTTAATCAAAATAAAAGAGGAGCTATGCTCGATGTTGTTCACACATGAGGAAGAGTTTGTTAAAACTCCAAATCAAATAGGAAAACAATTGGAAAAGTCACAACAAACTTTGAATAGGTTTAATAGTAATCTAACATAAAATATGAAAATCTATCAAGATCGGAATAGGTTTAGCTAACAATATATTATCCATATAAATAGAATTGAGTATTATATAATCAGTCACAAGATTTCTAATAAATAATACATTAGTATAGTTTTTTTGATTCGTAAATATAGAAATGATAGACCAATAAGGTAAATTACATCAAACTACGTTATATCTTTGTATTTTGTTTTATTATATTTTTGTATCTTGAATTTCTTATCTCTCGACAATTGGTCTCAATAAAGATTAATTGCTGCCCAAAACCAACAACCTGAACCACAGGAAAAACTTACCAACGTTCCTCTCAGATCGATACCACTTGTTTGTCTTCTCTTCTTGTTGCCTGGTTCTCTCCCCACTAATCCTGATGACTTTGCCATCTCAGAATGATCATGTGAGCTTCCAATCCATATCAACGTTGAACAAAGAGGAATGGCCTAGTGATTAGTGTATTTTCTGCCTTGCCTCCCAGTACAAGGTCCAATCTCACCAAGTTCCCCTCCCTTATATGAATAGTGACTAAAAAAAAATCCTTACGAACGTTGGCTAAAGCAAAGGCCTCGTCGTTTGGTCTAGCTAGGGTCGTCAACTAGAGGTCTCGAGGGAGGTAATTCCTCAAAGGAACCGCAAATAACCAGAGAGTATGGATGGTATATGTTGCTTCGTTGGTCAGACAAAAGCTCGAAATAAGCGCCATGGATAGATTTTGTCATTGTTGCTGATCGATGTGAGTTTTATGCTACCATCTGCTCTAAAAGCCTAAACTTGTCGAGTATAATGTAACATTACTGATTTGTTAATCTATTACTCTCACGTGTGTCTTGGATGGTCTGCATGTCCGCGTGATTTTTTTCCTTTTTTTTTTTCGTAATAGGCTTTTATACCATGTTGAACTACTATTTATTCCAAAAGGTAGATGTAAAATAAGTATTTAATCTATTACTGTGAACCTGAGACAAAAGCCAAGAGCATTTTTAATAGTGCTCTCTATTTTCAAGAGCATCTTTTTAAAAATAAACATCTTTAATGAAAAGGTGAAATAAAAAGTGAAATTTGTTTAACAACTTCGGTAGAATTCTCAATTTTATTAGAATAGTCTTTATAATGAATAGTGTTTAATACAAAAATATACGTGTCATTTTTTTATTCGTTAAGTATCGAGTCAAGAGTAAGGTTGATTTTTCAAATGTAGACAGGCCAATTTGACTCTCCACTTTAGCTAGTTCAAATAAAAAGTCTATTAGAGATATTTTTTAGAGATTAATTTTCTAAAATATAGAATTGAGTAAAATTAAAAAAATATGTTAGAGATGTCAATTGTATAGAGGTGACACCTTGGTAGGGGTGTCTATGGGCCAAATTATCCACGGGTTCTGTTATTCTGTACAAAAAAAATATGCCCAAAACTTGATAAGCCCGATAGTTGATTCACCCGAGCCCGAATCTAATATCCTTAAAAAAAGCGTTCAGGTATTCCCCCAAACCCATTACCTGTCCACAAACCCGTTAAAACTCGGCCCAAGAGTTCCACCAACCAAGCCTAGGTCGCCCACCCTTCCTTTAAAAAAAATTATCATTTTAGGTTATTAAATTTGAAACTTTGAAATAAATCTCCGAATGTTGAAATATAAAGTTTTAAAAACTTAAATACAATAAATAATATATTATTTTTTTTCCATGTATTAAGTATACAAGTTTTAAAGAGTAAAATAATGCAAACGATAGATAAGTGAATAGGTATCAACTTAGTTGAGATACATTCATTCTATTGGATGTAGTTCATCTCCTAATCAAAAATAAAATTATTTATTATTTTATTTTTATCTATTTTGACTCTACTTTTAAATGACTCTACACAAATATAAACTTCATTATGACTCTACACATCTATTTTGACTCTACACAAATATAAAATTACAAAAATATTTATTATTTTTAAATAAAGTTGTATATAAAAAAATTCGCGAGCAAGCCCGCCCAGAAGGCCACTCTCTAAGCTCGCGGGTTGGGTTACGGATAGCCTACCCCTATCCAAAGCCCGGTCCAGTCCACCCGATTACTCACTTGAGTAAGGGTTTAGACTTACATTACCCAGACTCGGCTCAAAAAAATTTCATGGGCCTTGTCCAGTCTGGCCCATGGACACCCCTGGCTTGTAACCCACATTTCCATTTTCTCTATTTAAAATGCTATTAAGACATTTTTTTTTTTTTGGCTCGTGAAAATAGTGGTCAAGGACGACCAAGCAAAGCAACTTTCTCAAGACGTTATCTTGAAGTTTTCACCTATTATAGAATGTTCGGTTTCAAGTATAATTAATATCTTGAAATGGTCAAATTCATCACCACAACACAACCAAGGATAAACTAGACATTTGATCCCTCCAGAAATATCTGGCTCACAGAGACAACTACTACAAACGTGTTCGAACTCATGACCATTGAAAAAGGGCAAGACTTTCACCATCTAATAAAATCAATTAGGCTTCCACCTCGGTGTTTGAAGACTTGAAGACCCATTCAAAAGGAGTAATTGATGTCTCCATAGTAACAAGAATAATAAATCTTCGGCCGCAAAACATTGTTTATGTCGGCTTTGGAGCTTCTGATTCTAGACGGGTATAACAATAGTTATTTTAAGAATATTTTAAGAATCAAATGGAAGGTGGTGAAACTACCACTCTGCCTATAAACTCAGGTGATCGTGCGTCAGACCTCAAGCTTTTGGCGGACACCTCCAATGGCCACTCAAACATCTCTTTTTCCATGGCTTCTGCTGATAAGCATTGTGTGTGTTCTGCTTATTAGCTGCAGCGGAGCATCTAATGACGATCAAAAGGCACATTCTCTCTCTTGTAATTCTTTTTTACTAGTGCCATCACTAAACATTGGTCCTGTCCATGGCCTAGAGTTGTTAACTTCATTCTTTTTTCTGAGGAAATTTTAGTAGTGAGTTTTAAACTTCTACCAGTTTTCTCACGTAAGATGTTATGTTAATACTTAACCATCAATCTATCTATAACAGCATCATCCTTAGTGGAAAATGAAAAGCTGATGCTATTTTTTTTTTTTTCTTTTCAAATGCCACTTCAGAGGAGTAATGGGGGATTTTGAATCACCAAATTCTAATTGAACTCATAGTACTAATGATTTGTGGTTGTTGCAGGTGTACATTGTGTACATGGGTGAGCGTCCAAAGGGTGATTTCTCAGCATCATCTCTTCACACTACCGTGCTGCAAGAAGTTGTGGGCAGGTCAGTCACATTCCTCTGCGTTTATGTTCTTTTTATTAGCATTTTTGTCAACTTCCCTCGTATTTGTTTGCTAATTTGTCCAACTACACTAAATTTAGTACCTAAAAAACAAAATATTAATCGTGCATACATTAAACCATATCTATATAATAAAGTACAAGATATTTTAAATTCTAAAAGATATAAAAAATAACTTTTATTTTCCGCAACTATGATTGTTTTAGAATTTTTTTACTAATAATCCAATGGCTAAAGATAAGTTCCAGAATTTTGGCTCAAAATTATTTTGATAACATACCAACATACACACACGCATATATACTAATACACTAAAATACACACACATACACTAGACGCGAACTCGACTCTAGACCCGACCACAAACTCAAACCCGACACCAAACCCAAACTAACCCCGGACACAAACATGGACACGAACCCAGAATCTTAACCCAAACGTAGACCAGACCCGAGACCAAGACCTGACCTTGGACCACACCTAGCCCCAGACCTAGACTTGAACCCAACCCTAACCCCTAGCAGGAACCCAAACCTGACCAAGGACCCAACCCTAGACTCGAACTCAACCCCAACCCTGGACTCGACCACGAAGCCCGGACTTAGACTCAACCCCGACCCCGAACCCAAATCTGACCCCAAATTTGGACCCAACCCTGAACCTGACCCCAAACTTGGACCTGACCCAGAACTAGAACCCGACCCCAAACTCAACCTCGGATTAAAACCTGACCCTAACCTCAAACTTAGACCCGACTCTAGACTTGACCCCAGACCTGGTCAGGGGACCTAGAATAGAACCAAACCATGGATCCAAACCTCAATCTGACCCTAAATGTTGACCTAACCTTCGAGCCGAACCCAAGCCCGAACCAATTGTTCGATCAAATGGCCACAAAAAATACAATATTAGTTATTAAAATACATACACTAATACACTAAAAATACACACATACACATATACTAATATACCAAAATACACGTACATACACTAGACCCAAACTCGAACCTGACCCCGTGGACCCCGAACCCCAATCTCGGACTTAGACAGACTCTGGACCCATACCTAAACTCGACATTAACCCAAGCACCGACCCTGAAACTGAAACCGAAACCAACCCTAAACTCGGACCCCACCCATACCTGAACCCATCCCCGGACCCAAATTTGTCCCAGGACTTGGACCCTACCCTGACCCCAATGCCGACCCAGACAACACATCGACCCGACCCCAGACTCGACCTCGGACTTGAACCTAATCTTGGACTTAGACCTCACTCCAAAGTCAGACCCTAGACCTAGGACCCTAGACACGACCTTGACCTCGAACCTAGCTGAACTTGGACCCAAAATCGGACCTAACCTGGACCTAAATCGCGACCTAACCCCAAACGTTGACCTAACCTTAGACCTGGACCTAATCCTAATCCCAAACCCAAACCAATTGTTCGACCAAATGCCTACATAAAACTTAGTACTATGGACTTTCCTCGTATCGGTCTACACTTGCCCCAATAACTCCCACAAGTCCCTTTTTCTTTATCATACTACACCATATATCTCACGACACGGCTTTGTCCCAATTACCCCTCTTTGAAAGTGTTGTTTGGAGAAGTACAATGATTGATAAGGTGGTGATGATTATGAAGGCATTGTTTGCTTTGATTATTTGACTTATTGTTCAGGTAGTAGTGATCTTAACGATATCAATTACTTTAATTTTTGGTTTATTGGTTGTAATCATGAAATACGCTGATTGTTGTTCTAATTGTGGGTGATGTTGTCAAGAATCATCCACATTTTAGTGTTCTAGGGTAAGAATATTTTCTTTAATTATATCTTTTTGGATAATAGTTTTTACTAGCACTGAATTAGAAATTGATTTGAAATCCAAATATGACTTATATAAATTTTAACAAATGCTTGATGCCTGAGTAATACTAATAATTTAAAGACGTTAGATATATGACTTATATTGTTGGCATGTTCTCTACTTTACCTCTTTCACAGCCTCTCCTTTTTTTTCGTTTAACCCTTTATATGTATGATTATGATATGGTGCTTTTCGACTTTCATTTGAAAGTGCATAATTTTTTATCTTTTAGTTTACGCGTTTAAATTGTTGTGCAGATATGAATTTTTGACATAACATATTATTTTTTTATTACTCTTTGCCTTCAAACATAAACAATTACTAGTCAAATTATATCACTAAACTTCTCCAATGAATTCATTGAGCAGTAGGGCATCCGAATCCTAACTCTACAGCTACCAGAGGAGCTTTAACGGCTTTGTTGCGAAGCTGACGGAAGAAGAGAGAGAGAAGCTAGCAAGTGGGTGTAATGTTATCTTTAAGATTATATAAATCAAGTAACGTTTGGCTGTCCTTTCTAATTGAACTTTTGTAACTCAGGCATGGATGAGGTAGTGTCTGTGTTCCCAAATACAAAGAAGCAACTCCACACAACAAGATCTTGGGACTTCATGGGCTTCCCTCAGTCAGTGGAAAGAAAAATTGTCGTTGAAAGTGACATTATTGTTGCAATGCTTGACACCGGAATATAGCCTGAATCCGATAGTTTCGACAATACAAAATTTGGTCCACCTCCAAGTAAATGGAAGGGCACTTGCCAATCCTCCTCTAATTTCAATCGTAACAAGTAATTCATTTGCCCTTCACTTACCCAAAAAATTACATGTATACATATAAATATACGATGTATTTATCACGAAAATAGTCTCTCTACATATAGGGTTAAGGTTGCATGTAACCAACACTCACTAGACTCCGTAGTGCCGAGAATTTTGTGCATTTGACTAGACTTCTTACATGCACTAAATCTTTCCACACGCATGCATTTGGAGAGACTTCTCACTAATGTTGGTAAAAATTGGCATACTTTGCAGCAAAATTATTGGAGCTAAATACTATAGAAGTGAGGGAAAATTAGGCCCAGGAGATTTGGCTTCACCAAGAGACTCCGAGGGACATGGAACACACACAGCATCTACGGCAGCAGGACACTTAGTAAGCAAAGTAAGTTTGTTAGGCCTTGGCTGGGGAACAGCTCGAGGAGGGGTGCCTTCATCCCGAATTGCTGTGTACAAGATCTGTTGGTCCGATGGCTGTTCAGAAGCTAATATTCTTGCAGCATTTTACGATGCAATTGCAGATGGAGTCGATATAATCTGTCTCTCTCTATTGGGGGTGCTTCTGCTTTTGATTACTTTGAGGATTCAATCGCCATTGGAGCTTTTCATGCTATGAAGAAAGGAATACTAACATCCAATTCTGCTGGTAATTCGGGTCCTAATCCTGCAACAATCTCAAATATTTCACCTTGGTCAGTTTCAGTCGTTGCGAGCACTACTTACAAGGCAGTTGTGGCCTCTCCTCCTGGACTCAGCATTCAGGTTGAACCCAGTGTTCTTTCATTCAAATCTGTAGGACAGAAGCGATCCTTTGCTGTGACTGTTAGAGCCACACCAGGTAAAAATGTACTATCGGGTTCCTTGCTGTGGAAAGATGGAGTTCATCAAGTGAGAAGTCCCACTGTTGCACATTCTTCCTCTTAAATTAAGAGGTTTCTGTTTACGTATTCTTCTTTGTAATGTGAAATGTATCGAAGAAGCAATTGTGTTTCTTCTAAAATAAAACAATTGTAAGCATGGTGAGTTTTGCTTTCAGGATCATAATTAACTCTTTGATTCTCAGTCAAAATCCAGGGATAAATCCTTCCAAAATTTTCTAATCACGGGCATGACCTATATTTAACCGGAAAAAAAATATATTAATTGAAATTCGTGTAAATAAGAATGTCAAAATATGACACAATCTGTAAGAATTTAAAATCTTTTCTAATGGACTTTTGGCCCCACAATATCTTCAAAAGTGGACCGGCCCCAAATTTTCTTTTAAAAGACCCTAATAGAATCCATTGATACAATATGTCCATAACATGGGCCATAGCCCATAAAATCCCAAATGGACTGGACCAGAAGGTATCGAAGATCGAAGTTAAACCAGAACTGTAGAATATCGTAGAACCTCTCTCTCTCTCCAGTCCCCCCTCTCTGTATTTCTAGAGCAAAATATCCAAGAAGATACCAGATCATCCGACATCTATCTTCTCCCCGCTATATACACAACTCATACCAATCGTGTTGAACGAGTGAAATGGGTTCACGTGAAATCACGTGGAAACGTATTTTTCTTCTACATAATTTATTAATTAATTTATATTTAATAAATTATGTTATATTAGATTTGTGTTGTATATGAATTATGTATAATTAATATATATTATATTTTTTTTAATTAATTTTATATATATTTAATTTATTTATTAATCGTATCGTCGTGTTAGAATCCACCTATTAATAAAAAGCGTGACTCAATAAATCTTCAAACACTTTAATTTCATGTCCATATTCAAAAGCCTAATCTACCCTGACTCCATTTTTTCATCAGACGATAATTCGACCGATGACAGAAGAAGGAAGACGGGCCTACAAATTCGGTGCCGATCTACACGCAAACTGCATCCTATATTCGATATTTGAAGGTAAAAATATCATTATTGTCGTTCGAAAATAGATTTCTATCATCTTGGTGGTATCAATAATTCGAAATCAACTTACTCCTGAAGGAATTCGAAGTCAATTCCACTGAAATTAGGGTTTGGGTTCATCTATTCAATCTTCGACAACAACTTTCTAATCAGGTATGCATTCTTGAACTAAAATTAAATCCAAAACTGAATGAAAGATGAGACATATATTCCATTGTTACAGAATCAAGTACCTCAAAACCCTAGAAAAAATATCGTATTCAAAAATCTCAATCTGTATGAAAGATTATGTGTGTTATATATATCCTTTATTACAATAAAATTGTTGAAAGAGTAGATCAGTACAAATTTTTTGGTTTGACATACTCATGTTACTTTTTTGAAAATTGGGTTACTGTTTTTTTGTTTCATTTTGTTTCGAAATATAGTTTCAATTGTTCAATTTGTGGTTTATTAAAAAAAATCCAATTAAAATTGTATAAGTACTTTGATAATTTCGATTGGTTGTTTGGAGACCAAATTATTGGTTCTAAAGTTACTAATTTCAATTGATTCTGATGTATCTAAATCATGTTACTGTTTTTGAATATGTGAGTAGTTATTGGATCTCATGATACTAATTTCTATTGATTCACATGTATCTAAATCACGTTATTGTTTTTGAATATGTGAGGAGTTATTGGATCTCATGTTACTGATTTCAATTGATTTACATGTATCTAAATCATGTTATTGTTTTTGAATATGTGAGGAATTATTGGATCTCTTGTTACCAATTTCAATTGATTCTGATGTAAAGGTTAAACTAGACATAAAATAGGAAATGTGTAGAATTGTGTCTTTTGTTGGTTCCACTTGGTGTCGCTGCATGATGTTACTATTTTTTCTAATAAATGTTACTGTTTGTGGTTAATGTGTTTCCTTAGTTGTTACTACGTTTTGTTAATATATTGATGTTATAACCTAATGGCAAGAACAAGAGGATTTTCACAAGAAAAATATGAGTTGAAGCATTGGGACACATCAATAGTAGTACAACCTGATGATTCAGATTTTGAAGAAGATGAAGTCAATAGAAAGGTGTTACAGAAGAATGAAGAGAAAAATGCAGCTCCAAAAGCAAATTGTTTTTATCAATTTAGGTCCACCATGCTTCCATTGATACGGGCAAATGGTGAAATTGAAATTAAAGAGAAGCACAAAGAGCAACTTAAGAAAACACTCTTCTGGCTATTGTTCCAAAGGATAACAACAACCGAAGTAGACAGATCTTAGTGCAAGAATAGTGACCAGAATATCATTGACATACTTTCCTCTTCTTATGTTGCTTTGAGTTTGTAATAATGTACTTATCAAACTTGAAATGCCAAATGACTTTGGACAATTATACTTAGATATGTTGCTGCAGAGTTGAGTATTGTTTGTACTAGTTTGTTTGAAAAACAGAGCAAACATTGTCTAGGTTTATTTCAAAAAATAGTAATATGAGCAGTAACATGAACAAAAGAGGACAATAACAATATGGTGAATTTTTATTCTCAAATGACTTAAGTATGATATAATTTTGCAGAGTAAAGATTGTTAGAACTGGTATGATTGAAAAATATACCACTCACTGTCCAAGTTCATTTTTAATAACAGTAACATGAACACATTATGAACAATATGAGTGCATTATCAGCTTGGTGACTTATTCCACTTAATGCACAGGATTTTTCACTTGTAATATTCTATTAAGTAAATAAAAATTAAAAAAAAAAAACCTAATTGATTATAGTAACATGGAAACAGTACCATGACTATCAAAAAATAGTAGCATACACTCAAAATCTGTTACACACGTGTTTACTCCAGTTTCGTGGTTCATTTGTTAAATCATAATCACACATTTAAAAGTAATGGATATGTGATTTTTTTTTTTTTTTTAAAGATGTGTGATTATGATTTGACAAATGAACAGGAAACTGGAGTAAACACGTGTGCAAGGTAAACTGTTGATTTGCCACTGATAGCTTGAACCCGTACAATTGTTTGCCAGTGTTGTTAAAAATGTCAATGTAAGCTCATTCTAACATTTCGTCGAACACTTTGCATTCTGAGTATAACACAACTTTCTTCTTCACAAACCTCGTGTAAGTCCACTCCCTCTTTGAAATGGTTGACTGTTATTGCACCAACAATATGTACCTGATTCTGATGAACCACAACATGCAAAATATACATTTGAAATCGGTACTAATGACCTCTACAACAAATTCACCACCTACTTGTAACTGTGCGACGATTTCAGCAAGAGCAGTTTGATTGCATTCTTGGAGTCTCTCGTTCATTTCGTTAGGGACGGTGTTCCAAATATGAACTGGAGATAAATTCACCATTAACTAGCACAAACGATGATGGATGAGTCTTCGAAAAACTATGCATTGAGCTTGTTCGTCTACATAGAATAAATCTCCACCAATTATGATAGCTAAATCAATCAGAGATACAAACCCTAAAGAAACCATGAGTTGTACAGGAGTAATGTTTTTTATGCCAAAGACGGTGTGGAGAAGATCGAAGTCAATGATTTTGAGTAGTTTGGAGTTTCTTGACCGACGTTTCATTTGGATAAGAGTATTCTCGATTTGGCTTGTTGAGCCAACTCAAATTACATCTGAAATTCTAGAAGTTCTTTCTCCATTGTCAATCTCCAGCTCTAAACTACTAGGATGTGTGCCAAACTACTAGGAGGTGTGTATGTGTGTCTAAGAGAGAGAGACGAAGAAGGGGTGGAATTTTAGTTGAGAACAAGTAATGAAGAATGATTTTCAATCAGGTTAGGGTATTTAAGTAATTAAAAAAATAGACTTAATTGCTTAAGTCTTGCGTGCATGTGAGACTTAAAGTCAAATATGTTTTAGGTTTGATCTTTAAACCTTATTAGTCTCCTACACAAAATTGATCCCCCAGTTCTCACTATTTTTTTGGTCTAGAATTGTCATACATGTTTTAGTATTAATAAAAGTAGAGGGGTGCCCCTAGACATAAAATATCCACAATATTGTTTACTTTTCTTTTAATTACTCGTACNATTTTTTTTTTTTTTTTAAAGATGTGTGATTATGATTTGACAAATGAACAGGAAACTGGAGTAAACACGTGTGCAAGGTAAACTGTTGATTTGCCACTGATAGCTTGAACCCGTACAATTGTTTGCCAGTGTTGTTAAAAATGTCAATGTAAGCTCATTCTAACATTTCGTCGAACACTTTGCATTCTGAGTATAACACAACTTTCTTCTTCACAAACCTCGTGTAAGTCCACTCCCTCTTTGAAATGGTTGACTGTTATTGCACCAACAATATGTACCTGATTCTGATGAACCACAACATGCAAAATATACATTTGAAATCGGTACTAATGACCTCTACAACAAATTCACCACCTACTTGTAACTGTGCGACGATTTCAGCAAGAGCAGTTTGATTGCATTCTTGGAGTCTCTCGTTCATTTCGTTAGGGACGGTGTTCCAAATATGAACTGGAGATAAATTCACCATTAACTAGCACAAACGATGATGGATGAGTCTTCGAAAAACTATGCATTGAGCTTGTTCGTCTACATAGAATAAATCTCCACCAATTATGATAGCTAAATCAATCAGAGATACAAACCCTAAAGAAACCATGAGTTGTACAGGAGTAATGTTTTTTATGCCAAAGACGGTGTGGAGAAGATCGAAGTCAATGATTTTGAGTAGTTTGGAGTTTCTTGACCGACGTTTCATTTGGATAAGAGTATTCTCGATTTGGCTTGTTGAGCCAACTCAAATTACATCTGAAATTCTAGAAGTTCTTTCTCCATTGTCAATCTCCAGCTCTAAACTACTAGGATGTGTGCCAAACTACTAGGAGGTGTGTATGTGTGTCTAAGAGAGAGAGACGAAGAAGGGGTGGAATTTTAGTTGAGAACAAGTAATGAAGAATGATTTTCAATCAGGTTAGGGTATTTAAGTAATTAAAAAAATAGACTTAATTGCTTAAGTCTTGCGTGCATGTGAGACTTAAAGTCAAATATGTTTTAGGTTTGATCTTTAAACCTTATTAGTCTCCTACACAAAATTGATCCCCCAGTTCTCACTATTTTTTTGGTCTAGAATTGTCATACATGTTTTAGTATTAATAAAAGTAGAGGGGTGCCCCTAGACATAAAATATCCACAATATTGTTTACTTTTCTTTTAATTACTCGTACCTTTCAATTCAACCGCAGGCAACTGTTTATATGCCATTATTGATTTATTCTCTTTCTTCATATTACATTATTTTATAGTTACACACGGATAATCGTGTACACGACTTTTCTAGAGTGGCATCATGAACTTCTAGCATATATGGTACGTATAGGGCTGTTCATGGGCCAAGCAAGGCTAGACCTGCAAAAAAAAATTTAGGTCGGATTTGATTAGTGTAACTTTAAGTCTTTACTTAAGTGAATTATTGGGCGAGTCGGACCAAACGTTAGGTAGGGGTAAATTACCCGCAGCCGCAGTCCAACCAATGAGTCTATTAAGCTAGCCTACTTGCGGACTTTTTTATATATAATTTTATTTAAAAATAATAAATATTTTTATAATTTAATATTTATGTAAATTATATTTTTGAATCAAAAGTAGAGTTAAAATAGATAAAAATAAAATAATGAAATAATTTTATTTTTGATTAAAGGATGAATTATATCCAATAGAATGAATATATCTCAATTAAGTTGACACCTTACTCACTTATCTATTATTTGTATTACTCTACTTTTTAAAACTTGTATGTGTAATACATGAAAAAAGAAAATAATACATTATTTATAGTATTTAAATTTTTAAAATTTTAAATTTCGACATTGTGAGACTTATTTTAAAATTTTAAATTTAATGGGCTTGGCAAGCAGGCTGAGCTTGGTAGATGGGTTGTTGAGTTAAGTTTTAACAAATTTTTTCGGATGAATTATTGCATCAGGCTTCGAATCAGATAATTAGTTTGAAGACAAACTCAAACCCTCTTTTTAAAGATATTGGGATCGACAGACCAATTATTAGGCATATCGAATTTTAGACCTATTTTTTTGAGCGAAATAACAAAACTCGTGAATAATCTGAATCATAGACAGTGACGGTTAACAAACTTCTTTATTTTGGTTTTTATGGATAGATTGAATGCGACCCAATTCAAACGTTGTTAAAATACGACTTTAGCAACCAGTGGATAACATTAATTCCCCACTGGTGTACATGACTATCATTGGTTGGCTAGTTCTTATTGTCAAATTGCAGATTTCGTACGTCTTCTATTAATGAGAAATGCTATGTTGACAATTGTCGTGACCATGACTTCTCCTGACTAATTGGCCTGGTTAATTCGGTCACAGCTATTATTAACAAACTAAATATACAAAGCTTAAAACTCAAATCTGTGGTTTGGCATACTTGAAAAGTCATTAGACAGAAAAATAGATGGATAGAGTAGAGGTAGACAAAATATCATGTTAAATTCATAAAAAAAAAATGTAGAAATGGTTGACGGATCAATTTACTTCTTACCCACCAAATTTTATTACCAAAATTGAACCGAAAATTAGACGAGAAAGATAAAACATGTGTGTTGAAACATGAGTTACTTATTTTTAATATGATTAATAAGTTAATTTTATGTGAAGATATTATGGTAAAATATGTGTATACATTTTTTTTACATTCAATTTTTTTAATAGGGGTTGCTAATATCCTATATATAGTATAGTAAGACGCGTTTACATTAAGGCTCGTGCTAGACGCTAACTTTTTTTGGCTTCTCTAAAATCTAGAATTTTGAAGTTATTAAAAACTTGCCCCTTGTTTTGGTCAAAATGAATCCCCAAGACCCGGGACATTGATTTCTGTCGGCATTGAACTATTAAGGAACGGTCACATATTTTATATTATAACTTGCAAGTAATTCAACTTCCTTTTCTTGAAAATCAAAAGCAACTCGATCAATTTCTGCTAGGCAAGAAATAAAGAATATAACCAGTATAGGGAACAAAGGAATAATAGACTATACTTGTTTTTACACCATGACAATCTCACTTGAATCACGGGAACCTATACATATTAGTATAGTATATATATATATATATATATATATATATATATATAATCTTTTACTTTCTATCACTTCAACAAAACATAAAAGATGATGCGAATATTTCTTTCTTTCTTTTTTTCTTTTTAAATGATAAAAAATAGATCCTTTCTATTTTTTGTTTTTTTCTATGCATTATAATAATCAGAATATCCTTTTCTCGAATATTAACTTTAATGAAATGGCATGGAATTTCAATCTGAATCCAGAATTCCGAACCATTTAACATATTTTGAACAATCCACCTTAGGATCAAAGTTCTGAGATATTAATGTTCAAAGCACATTAGTATTAAGGTTTAAAAAATTAAAAGCTTTTTTGGTCTTAGTCCATGGCTCTACAACCTTGAATTCCTTGA